TTAAGTATGCAGATTTTGTTCTAAATATTGAGCATCCTCCTCATGATTATTTTGAAATTATGAACAACCTTAGCTTAAGTTCCTTAGCTGTTAGGATGCCAGTTGATAAAATATATTTTCTCAAACAACTAATTGATGGCAATATTGACTATCCTGTTCTAACAAGTAAACAAAAAAAATACCAAATACATACCAAATATCTATAAATTTCACAAAAAAGTCAGACATTTATAATGTTATATTATATGTTAATATAGATACATAATAATATAATATAATACATACAAAATATATAGGTTTATTGGTATATATTTGGTGAGGATTTCAAGTGACTACAGTCCATAGTTATTCGTTTTTATGAGTCACAAAACAACAATTTTGACTTTGTCAAAAAATAGTTCTGGCCAAATCCATATTTTTCCTCCCGTTTATTTTTAACTATTTTATTTTGGCGTTTGACCCCCTATAAGTACCACTACTAAATCCAATTTGCAGCCTGAAATCATTTTCGAAGTTAAATGTATTTTTTCTTCTATAAAACGTTGGACATGGACGATGGACAGAACAAATATATAATAAAAACACTCCCACAAACGTGTACCTAAAAAAGTCGGTCAAAAAAAAAAAATTATTTACATAATATTGCCTTCAATATAATCTGAAAGCTATCTTAAGTGATGATAGCGATTAGCGACTATACTTCTACGTTGATTTTGTTCTACTGGTATATTATAAATGTATTGTTCATCATACAAATATTTTCTAGTTAATAATGTCTAAGTATGATCGATATACCTACGTGGGTACTTAATTTTATTAGGTCTATGTTTAGTAGCAATATAAAAATTATGCAATATACAACTATAATGATATAAGCGTTTTTGATTTTTACCAAACTCTAATGATTAGCCTAGAAAAATAACTTATTCGTACGACACAGCCGTAGACGACATAATACGAGTATAATATTATAGGTTCAATTTTTCTCATTATTAAATATTAATGAAATTGCGTACCTACTTAGGTTTTGCGCTTAAGCATCGTGTAGATGGAATACTATATATAATATTTTTTTTTAATGTGATGACTGGATGAATCGATCGACCATCGTACAGTTCGTTGGAATTGTGATCCAAGGTTATACGACTATAAAAACAGTCATCTGGAAACATAAGGTCGCCTATAAGCCTTTATTAATCATAGGTACTAATAATAACATAGATTTAGCATAGACCATAATATACTCACTGTATCATATTATATATGTGAAACTTTTTGTTGATTTATTTTTTGTATTTCACAATACCATCATTATTGACGATCAGTTGCAGACGTCACTAAAGGCAACTTCGCAATAAGTTAGGTAACATGTTCGAACAATAATTGCTGAATAAGTCCCATCCGCTCACCATTGTGGTATCCTAGTATTCACTGATCAAAGATAAGAAGCAGGTAGGTACCAATTATTAGTGCAATTTTGCTTTATTAGATACTTACCAGTCTTCGTGCGAATTAATGATGAAATACTGAAATGTTAAAAAGAAAAATAGAGGCCCCAGGGAAAATCCAAAATCCTGGCCTAGGCGTTTTATATGACACGCTAATTCTCGAAATTGGGACACTGTGGATGTTATGGACTATGTAGTAGGTACTTATTATACCTATGTTAGCATATTTTCTTTTGAAAAGATGTACTTAACCATGACCATAGAGAAAAAAAAATGTTGAGCTCACTCTGCAGGCCATATTAAGTCTGCGTCGAATGTACCTCATCACTGAGATATTTTTATAAATTTTATTATCTTGTTCCACTTCTATATATTATAAAATTCGGCTTAAAAATGTTCAACTATACAGTATATGTTTAGCATTTGGTATAATTATTATGCCATTATGATGTAATTTTATGACTAACGATGAGAAAAAAAACAATGAATGGCGCGTTATTTTAAATACCTATTACCCAGGGTTCTAGGTCATTATTTACGGCTGAAGATTAAAAATACCTACTCTATTAATTTATTTAGGTTAACTTATGAATAGTTAATTTCTAAGAGATCAAGGCACTAACGGCTCTTTAAACATTGAACTGAGATTCTTGCTAATGCATGTTAGGTATTGTTAGGACAAGTATAAAATTATTCTTTTTTGGGTGAGATTGTAATTTTCCATTGGAAATCTACCTACATTATTTTGATCCCTATAAAAATCCATATATAGTGCATTAAAGTATTCAACAATTCTGCAGTCTACAATCATTAATTATAAATACTATAGGTTCATTTATTTACAATAAATGCTACAATATAATACTACTATAATAAATATATTTACTGAATATTATGCATTACACATTTTTATAAAAACAATTATTTGTTTAAAACAAAAAATATTTTTAATGTATTAATGACTATCAAAAAAATTAACATGACTTAAAAACTAATTAACTGATTTTTATATAACTGCACATCAGTGAAAACAATTCATTAAGTTAGAAACTATTTTTTGTTTTAAGTAGTCACTCGTTATGTACCTAACTTAATTAAAAATAATTCACTTTTATCTTGTTAGTGCTTTGCTAATAAGTTCTTTAACGGTAGCTAGATATAATTATTGAATTTAAGCCATATAAATAGATCATTTTGCATATATATGTCTTTCATTATTGAATGATATATTGATTAAATACAATACATGTACTCAACAGCTATTTATTATGACACAATTATGTTTTCTGAAGGACTATAGGAAGCTTATTAATGATTAGGTATTAACTTGTATGTTAATAATTAATCATTAGCTTAGGTATATGCGTCTTTTAAATTTTGAACTACATACTTGCCTATAATTCAAAAATAATCATGACGCAAGTGGCCCGACAATAAATAAATTGTCTCTCGAATGTTGTGAATAATTATTTAAAAAAAATTGTATCGCGCGTCATAGATATCTAAGAATTAAATCAAATGACAAATAAGTGTGTTACTATTATAACTTTATACAACAATAGATATATATAGATATAACATGTATAAAGAATTAAGAACCAGTCTCATTCGCCTTGACGTTCAATATACATTTATTTACAGCTGTTGGCAGTTGGCATATTAGTAAAGAAGTCGGTTCAACGACTTGAAAACCATTATAATTTATAGGTACCTAGGTATAGTTGTTTTTAATGCGTCAATACGTTTTGTATGACGTAAGTAAAGAATGCTACATTTTTTCCACGATTAAAAAGTTATGGGTATCCGGTCGGTATATATTACCCGTCTCCCAAATAATGGTGTTGACCTTCGTTATTGGTGTATAATTGTAGACTACTTATTATCACGTATTGAATATATAATATGTATATTGTATCACATGAACAATTAAATGACGCAACACGTAAGTAGGTATATATAGGTATCATATAGGTGTCAATATACTATTTTATTTTTTAGATTTAGTTGGTACATTAGATATTTAGATACCAAGTCAAAGAAAAATTTCCAAAAGAAAAAATTGCATTTAAAAATGTCATTGTGTGTATATAAAATATACTCTAGGAATTCCAATTAGGCATATCCACGAATAATATTTTTCAATTACAATAAAATAACTAAAATTGTCATTTTTGGTTTAATAAGAAATTTTGTCCAAATTTTAACAAAATAGCCAAAAAAAAAACCTGTGGTCATACATTATTTAGATATGTTGGTTACAGAATGAACTACAGAGTGGAATATTGTTTTTCATTTTCAATCCTTCTCTATACAAAATTGAAAATGTCATCATTTTTAATTAAAAATGCTTTTAAAAAAATCTTGCCTCTGTATTTTTAAATGTTGAAACTGATATTGTAACATTTCGTATGTCTACGATATTTTTTTAGAGTTGTACTCAAAACAAACATTCAAAAAGATTTTGACGAAATCTGATTTTTTATAAAGATGACAGTTTTTCCTTATTTTTTTTTTCTTTAGGTCACTTTTGAAGACTTCCTGAGAATAATTAAAATGAATCTGAGATTTTTACCTCTCAAGTGCACCAACAAAATTCACTTCCCCACAGAAAGAGATACCAAAGTTGAAAATCGTGACATCATTTGGATTACTTATATTGTGTACACAGACAAAAAAAAATATACCATTGTAAGATCAATGTACTCGTATTTATTGTTCTGCTCAGAATCTAAAATATCAAAATTAAATTTGTCGTTTTAAGGTGAGGTACGATGACATAGATAGGAGGTACCTACTAGATAGTTTATCGTTCTACGCCCGTTGCTTTTAAGACGTCATCGGCTCTGCGATATTTATACCCCAGTTCAGTATTTTAAGGTCAAACGTCAAACAATTGCAAGAAAAGTAAAACGAAATTTATGGTAGGAAACACTTTTGATTTGAATTACATATTTACATTCACAACAAACATAAAATAATATAATATACTGGTATATCACTGAAGTCCGTATGATTGTCGTTCCACTATATCCGAGTATGACCGTCATAATAATATTTTATTATACGCGCACTCTCTTGCAATGACCTGCCGAATCTCAGGACAGCAGGTTAAGGACTTAGCTCGTAAACACTGTGACGGTGGAATTAAATAACAAAATATTATTAGGTATGTCGCCTCAGCACAATATTGGCTTCTCAAGTCTTACCTATATTAGTGCAGCTCATAAATATTAAAATATAGTGTCCCTATGCTACATGATATATATATATATACATTATAATAGTATGTATAATGTATGTATATGATATTGTAATATTAATGGCCTTCTACAGTAGGTATACGACAGTTCTCGTTATAAAAAAAAATACCCTCTCATTTTTAAGTACTTATAATTTTAAATATCATAATTTTTTTTTTATAAGTTTAATGCTACATTTCTATCTCGTCTTTAAGTATTAGTTAATTCTAAATTCCTAGATTATGAATCGTAAGATATTTGTGTTTTTAAACATAATAGTCATGATATTTGCAATGATTTAAGTAATCATAGACATATGCCCTGAGTGTGCTAAAATGTATGCTTACTACTGTTTATTTATTTAAAAGTTAACCAATCATTTACTATCGAATGGATAATCATTAATCTATGCTGTGGCATATGTTATGTGTACTAATGCGCAGGCTATAATTTTCTTAAACTATTCTCAATCTCTTTCAGAAACATATTAATATACATACATCTATTATCTATGATATCTTTCTAACAACTGATGAAGAGTAAGTTGCCCAGTAGAATAGCGAAAGTCTCAAGAAATGTTAGATTCCTTATTGTACGATATTTATTGAAAAAAAAATGAAATTGCAAACTCTGTAGATGTGAAGGAAATAGTGTATTGATGAATTTGAAATACTGACACCGATACAGAGAAGATTACAAGCTCAATGTCTGCAGTATAATATAAAATAAATCAAATGTAAGTTAATAATTGTTTTTATTTTATACAATAACTTTCAAGGTATACACCTCGTATTCTTTATTTTAATAACCAATGAAACACTGTCAAATAATTTAAACCATTAACTAATTATTAATTATTATAATATAGATACAATATTTTTTAGTAGTTTAATACCGGGGAAAAATTGAAGAAGGGCTTAAGCTAATTTTTTCACCTTTTTTCATCTTTTTGTCGTATACAAGTATTTCAAATTATTTTTTTGATCTACATTTTTCATCTTTACCAATCTTGCTGAATAATTCTGCACAATCTGACATCTGTGAAATACTTCTAAGCATGCATAATATGTAAGTGATATAGTGATATGATAAGTGATATAGATAAAAAAATTATGCATGATTATTGATTACAATAGGCGATAAACCTTACTACCTTCGGAATATATATTATTTTTTTTTAAATATTAGAATACAAAATTAACCACGAAAACATTTTATATTAAAAGACAAATATACTATAACTACAAGTGTACACAATCATATATATCTCATATTTTTTTAAATTCTGAGTGGAGCGATTGAATTTTATTTTTATGGTGTGTGTGTGATTTTTTTGTGTGTTATCACCTTTTGGAGCAGAAAAAGTGCTTCGATTTTCTTCAAAAATATTTTTTGTGTTAGGAAAGTGAATCTAGTTGGTAACTTAAGGAGGCCAAAGTAAAAAATTCCCAATAGTTTTCAAAAGCGGCGAAAAAAATTAAAAATCAATTTAAGGCAAACCGAATTTTTACGGAAAACCTGTTTTTGACAAAATCGAATTCGGTTTTTGATGTAGCTCTAAACAAAAAAAATATCAAATATCGTTGATAAATGCAATTTTCACTCAATTTTTTTATAAAAATTTCCTATACGCTATACAATTTTCCAAATATTTTGACTCGTGTTGCAGTGATTATAGGCAAATTAAATTATCGATTATTATTAGTTTTTTCCAAATTAATGTCGATAGTAAATCGGTTCAATCGGTAAAAAAATTTTAAAATGTAATACAATGTGTCTCGTTTTGAACTGTTTTAAAAAAATATACAAACACAGTTTTTTTTCGATAGTTATATTATTTTTCAACTTTGGACGAAATTACATATTATTAAATAAACAAGAATAATGATTTAAGTTATTTTGCTGTACTTTAAAAATATTATTCGTGACACCAACTTTATTACTTACTTGTTATAGTATATTATTATATTTTATACACACAATGACTTTTCAAATGTAACTTTTTGGTCAAAAATGAATTTAACCTACTGTAGTACTAATACTTACTAATAAAATCACAATAACATCATCAAATATACTAAATTTAAAATTACTAGGTAATATTGTAGACTGACAGACTGTCTTCGTTCAGAATCGTTTTTCGTATACAATGATTTTACATCTCTGAATTCAAATTTAACATCATCCATTTCAGTGACCCACTTGTAACCTACTGTACAGCAGAGCGATATCTATTTACCCACTTTTATTAATTATTATAATAGAAAAATGTCCTGTACATAGTACAATTATTTATTATTACAATAGAGTATCAACCAGGGATTAAAAAATTATACATATCGCATAATAACATAAATTTACCAATCCAATTCGAATCCCAGTAATATAGCTTCATAATTCATATCATAAAACATTTTTTGTGAATTTTGCTTAAAATTATTTTTAATACTTTTTTTTATTCTTGTTTGATATCCATACTTCAATGTGTTCACAGGTAAGATCAAACTTTTATATTTTGTGATCACTTTGAGTTATACACTATAAAGAAGAAATGTTATTGAGCAAGTCAAACTACTTACCAACTAAAGAAAACTTAAATATGCATATACAAATAAAATGTAGAGCTTTCAATGGTTACAAACCCGTATTTCTTTTACATATAAAATAATATTTATTATGAGCTTATGACTATGTTCAAAAATAAATACAGAGATACAAAGCAAACAGAATCTTAAATTACTATTCTGTATTTGTAACTGTGAACACAATATTAGTGTAAAATAAGCTCCGGAACCTCCACCAAATATGTAACGAAGTCAAGAAAACCTTAGTATGTAATGATAATAACTAAAATTATCCACGGAATAATTTTTAACTTTTTTGGAGAAGTTTTCCGAAGTTAGTGGTTGAAGAACTTGTATAAGAGGTAAAACCCTAGAGTATAAATTCTAAAAAAACATATTTTGATTTACAAATCTAGGATAATTATTAATTTTTTTTTTTAAATTGTATTTTGTGGTATCTGCATGGTGTTGGATACCATTAAGAACGATTAAGAACGAGTTGTAGTCTTCTTATTTTAAGTGGAGGCATTTTGGCTAAGTTTAGTATGCTGGGTATTGGGCTTGATTTGTATACTACAATCAAAAGTTATAAGCCAGCGTTATGAAGAGTATTGAGTTTCTTAAAGATGTTTTATTATTCCCCCCCGTCTAGTTTTGACAGTAGGTGGAATTTATATATTTTAGTAAGTGTTTGGGTATTACTGCCCCTTGTGTAAGAGAGAGTTTTTATGATATTAACTCTTGGCGCAATTGATCATGTTAGATTAATTATCTTGTTGAGTCCAAGAAAGTTTTTATTAAGGAAGTCATGCTGCCACTTGTTGGCTCATCAAAGGACGATTTTGCTGGCATGAACCGGGAAACTGGGATGTAGAGTGTGGACCAAAACATTGGGGAAATATACATAATTTTCAAATTGCCTAAACACAACTCTTTAAAAAATTACACGTTTTCAGAGGCCTTCACTTGCATCCACAGTGTCACCATCTGGCCTAAAGCATGGCGCTTTTAAAACACGTCCTCGCAGACGGTTGCTACTACGCTTGTTCCCAAGAGACACTCGCTTCAGAGTTCCAAATGTTATCACCACCGACGAGACTGGCAATTTGATTCAGATTTCCTCAGATCACTCTTCACCACCTTCGGAATTAATCACATCCGTACATCATCAGTAAAATGGCATGAATGCATGAATCACCGCTTTCGTCAAAATGATTGCCAATTATGTTGCTGGCACTACGGAGTAAGATCAAACAGGGCATCAAATCCACTCTCGCGGACTGGTTTATGGCACCATACTCTGCCTTCCCTGTGAACTGTTCCACTCCACAACGCCTAAGCCGATGCCTCATGAAGTTATAACCGTAATTCGAAACGTAATGGGGCAATATTGCTATCTTCGGCCAGGGGCAGACTCGGTCAATATTTCAGGGAGGTAGGGAATTTTTTTAAGACCAGACTGCGCTGATCGATTGAACCCGTTGTACTATGCACATGCGTAGTAGATGATACAGCAAAAATTGTGTTTAACTCTATATTATATAATATAGTATACATAATATACTGTAACGAAAATTGACAAGAACAAACGACCTAACACCGCCAGTCTTATATGCTCAGTCTATTGTATACTATTATAAGATGTGTGCTTGCACGTCGCACTGGAAGCCTTAACCATAGAATAATATTATAGAATTGGCAATCGATCAGCTGATCGGTTTCTTGTTTACCTATGTTTACCTGTGTACCTAAAACCAATATGGAAACTCGAACATGATGTTAGACCCTTGTTTACCCGTATTAAGAAAACGTTTAACTGCCACGTCGACAGGATCGATTTGTTTACCATTTACTATTTCGCACGTATGCCATGCCCCGTCCCTCCCCCACCAAGGATACACGATTCACAGTGTGTCGTAAACCTGCCTCAACGTAAGATAAAGTAGACTGTTGCTCTCTCATTTCATAATCCACCGACACGCTCGGGACCCTTCGTCTGCTGTGAAATTTAAAAAAGTGTTTTTTCGTCCCGTTACAAAAACGTTAATTGCGTTCGCCGGGTTGCAGATACGAATCTTTTTTAATCGCCGTATTCACGGTACACTCAGGTACGTAATACGTCGTTTGATGCATAAACATACTTTGTTGTTATTATTCTAATATAAGGTTACATTTTTATCAAATAGTCGAGTTTTCTTTGGTAATAATCACAACTGAACATAACACTATGGCTAGATCATCTTCAAGAGTCATCACGAAAGTAAGTAATTATCTATAAGAAGTATAAACTAAATTCATCGTTATTAGTATTACCTATTTTGTATTTACCAATATTTTTTTTATAAAACGCTTTTATACTATCAACATTGCCACGATTTGTGATTATAACAGAGATCTCGCAAATGAATATAACATTACACTACTCTATTGTGCAGTAGGAAATCATTAAAATTTTACTTTTTTTTTTAACGATTATTTAACATTAGGTATATATTTAAATATTTTGCCTACCCTTGCGGTTATATTGACGAATTAAGTATATTTGGTACTATACAAGATTGAATTGCTCACTTAATTTCAATAAGCACTCTTTATTACATCATCGGCAATGCTTCCGCCTACACGAGGGCAATTGATCAACGTGAGGAGGAAAAAGGGTTTTTAAACATAAATTAAGTGCACATTTAACCGTCCTGCCAATAGAATCTTGAAAGAAATACAGGGCTATTCTTCTAATAAAAACAAGCCGTCGCAAGTCGCTAATTTTTATTGAATAGATAAAAATTGCAATTTGCTAGCATGGTTTAATAAAAAAAAAATAGTAATAATAATAATCAAAAACAAAATACCTAAATTTTTTAAACGCATTATGTGTTTCACGGGTGTGACTACACCCACTTTGCATTTTTTGTGTGTTTTCCGCGCATGCGCCCGTTGCAAGCATTACAAGCTTAGCGTGTCTTTAGCGCATGCTCGCATTCCAAGTGTGGTCACTCCGATGGGAGGTTTCATCCACTGCATTAGATAGGTATTTCACATCTAACAATTTTTTTTGTTTCCTCAATAACAAATGTTTTACAATAATTCGAAATATTTTCGATCATTGGAAAGAAGTGACTTGTCAAAACATTGAGTACATAGAGACACCACCATAAATTTTAATTTTATATTATCATTTTAATAAAAATATTCAACACGGAACATAAAAATAAAAAAGTTTGTTTTGTTTGTAAAAATAATATGATATGAATTATGATAACTTATAAATACATAACTATTATAGTATTATATTATAATTGTTTTCAAAAACAAAATAATTGTGTAGTATATTAGGTAACTGTAAGGCTCGCAGTTATATGTGGGTACTAAAAAATCAAAATATGTAAATACATATGTATAAAACTATATTGTAATATTATGGCCGATCATTATTATTATTACAAATTAAAAGTGTTTTTCTCTCACAAGGTCTTCTTAATTTCCGTATGCGTATTCGCCGTCCTTGCCCGTCCGGAAGATGCGAAAGTGCAAAACAAACTTTCTGCGGTCAAATCTGAGAAATTTGCTACAACACTTCCGGCGACCACGGTAAAAAAAGTTGATCTTCAATTCTCCTCAATCCAGCAAGATGAGTCTTTTCCGAACGTCAGCGAGGACGTAGTCGACGAGGCTTTCAACGACATGGGTTTCATGCGAAGCGAGCCATACAAGTGCTCTAACGGCGAAGGACTGTGCGACCCCACTGGCCAACAAATTAAAAGTCAGTGAAAACAATTTAACTAACTATGTAATTATTACGTCATGGTCACAGATCGGACGAGAATGTTTGGTTAAGATTAGTCGATTTTAATAGAATGTTAATTGGTCAATATTTTAGGTATCAGATTTTTAGATGATATTCTGAAGAAAAAAAATAATAGCTTTTCTTGCAATACTTACTTTGAATAAATTCGATATAATGGAGCATTGCAGATTTTTCATGGAAACTCTTTCAAATTAGCGTATGTGGAAATAGATTTTTAAATTTAAAAAAAAAACATTCCATTGACCAATTCTGATATTATCACATAGACCTTTTTAATTCCATGCCCATGAGCAGTGCACTCTGTTATTGCTCTATGTAGGTAGGTAGGCACATATTATATGCAAGCAGTAGCTTGGTACACTTAAACTTGTACTCAAACTTTTTGAACGCATTATATAAAAAAAAATACTGTATGTCATGAACTCATGAATTTGAAAACAAAATTCTAAATTTTATCTTGGATGACATTTGAAAACATTAATGATTAAAATACAAATATAGACTGTTTTTCTGGTCCCCAGAAATTAAGCTAGAAGTAAATTTTACTACTAATATCTATACTAATATTTTATAATCTGTTTCTTCCTTTGAAGTTAGTTATTTTATCGCATTTGCAAAATTATTTAACATTCATTTAACAGAATAGCTAGAATTCTGGATAAAATGTTGGTATTTGTTTTTACATTTTCTATTTAATAATGATGAATTTTGATGAAAACATTTCAGATTTGAATATTTCCTCTCAAACCATAAAATATTCACCAGACTGGACTGCTGAGAACAAAACTCGCAGCAAACGCATGGATAAGTTAAATAATTTGGCCTGTTATTATCTTATGCCAAGTGATTACACACTTGAAACCCTTTACCCTGATGAAATAAACCCTGCTTTATGTACTCATTTAATTGTGACGGCTGCACGCGTTCAAAATAACAGAGTTTACTTCGAGACCACATACGATGAAGAGGTATGATTTTTTTACATCATTAAGTAACTAGTAACAATGTACAATAAATTGTGTTTGATTTAGTCAACAGTCTGTTAACTAAACCTTTTTTCCAATTTATTCCTACAAATTTATATCTTTTAATATAATATTTTTTAAATCACTGACTTGTGAGTCACAAGTTGTGACCACATTCTTAACAGCTTAAACAATTTAGTTTGTTCAAAATTAAATAAAACATTTAATTTGTGACTGTAGATAAATATTTTTTCTTTATTATTATTGAGAAAATATTTGAGGTATTTGTGGCCAATAGATTTAACATTACATTTCAGTTATAGTTTATGCATTACATAAACACCTATCTAATGATAATAATAAAATTACATTTTTAATGAATAATAAATAATGAAAAACAGTAAACTAAAATAATTAGTATTAGATAACATAATAGTTTATAATAGAAATTATATCAGTAAGCAGAAACCCATTACAATTTATTTATATGGTATAATTATTTTTATTAACAAATTAATTTTTTTTTTGGTTTATTGGATTTGAGCAATTATTTGTAGTGTAAAAAATGATCAGAAGTGCTGTGATTATGTTGTTTGGTCTTAAGGTGGTTGTACAGCTAGGAATAGAAATTTGGCCAGTTTGGTGAGTTTAGTTTTGGTGATACGTTAAGTGACTTAGGGGCATATTTGATCAATTTGGTACATTCAATATGTAATATCTGAGTTGATGTCATTGCATAGACTATGAATATTTAAGTTTCTGTTAGTGTAATTTTCCAATATGTATTTGAATTGGAGTAAAAGGGTAGGCAAACTATTATAGAAGGTGGTTTCAGCTGGTTTGAGACCAATAGACATTTTCTCAGCTGTGCTGAATGAGGAATTAGATCTGGATCTCGTTAGTTGATGTGTTACCAGGTAGAGGCGAAGATGATATTACTAGGGAGTAAACATCAGAAAAATGTATTTTGTGTAGTTCATTAAATGAGATGTGAGGGTCATCAACCTTGTGAATCCAGCTTAGAGATGTAGATTTTGATGTAGCAGGTTTTTTTTTGTTTGATCATAGTCTGTGATTGTTTCCATTAGTTGAGAAGTGATGAAAGAAAGGTTGGAAGATTTTATTGGGGGAGTGTTAATTGTCGTTTCTGAGGAGTACAACTATAATAAGTTGTATTGATATGATTTTTGATTTTTTTAACGAATGGGAGGGGGGATTTGGGGCATTAACATGAAGTAAAATAATCAATTTTAATATATCTTATTGGGTTAATAGTAATTGGAACATGGAAAAAAATCAGTAAAATAGTTAATATTTGTATTGTATTTTATAAACAAAAGATAAGTCTCCGGACGATTAAGTTTAAATCAAATTTTATAATTTCAGATTTTGAGACGAGCAGTGAATTTACGTGAACAAAACCCAAAGTTAAAAGTATTACTATCTTTACAACATTTTTCCGATGGTTCACATTCAAATGAAGGTTTTCCTGGCGTGGTTGCAAATAAAGATAACTTAGACCAGTACGTATTATATTATACATATTTTATTTTATTTAGGTATTTAGAAGTTCATTTTTTGATTGGTTTTATTATCATTGACCAACATAGGCATACAAGTATATAACTCATTCAGTGATTTATATTATTTGATATAATAGTTACTGAATCATATACGGCAGAACAAATTATTAATTATGCATAATGTCATCAATGTGTTTTTTTTTAAAAAAATATTTTTTAAAGTTAAATTTGTCTGATGGTGAATTATAAGAACTAATATAAACTCCTTAGTTTCAATTGAATTATCATAATTTAATATTAAAAATTGTTAAATAGTTAAAATAGTTAAATAGAATAGTACAATTTTAAAATGTATTGTTAATTTTTAGTTAGGTAGTTATTAATAACTATAACATTTTGTATTTTTTTTTTAGATTTATCTTTCATGTAGTATCAGTTGTCAATGAATTTTACCTGGATGGTATTGATATAAACTGGCAATTTCCATCATGGCCTTTATTAAATTTAGAAGAAAAATATGGATTTGCTAAGTTATTAGAAACCTTACGTTACCATCTACCTGACTCTATTTTAACTGCAGCGGTTGCTGCTCCAATTAGAATAATTAAACAATCGTATTTAATGTATCCTTTAGCAAAGTAAATAATGCTTATTACAGTATTATTTTTAAATAACACATTTTTCTATTGATGCTTGTTTTTTTCTAGTTTTGTTGACTTTATAAACGTTATGGCATATGATTATTTTTCATATCGCTGGTATTTCCAAATAACTGGGCCAAATTCACCTTTGTATTCTCCACGAAATGAAAGTGAATACTTCCAGGATTTAAATATTAATTCTTCTATTCATTATTGGATCTCAAATGGTATACCTACAGAAAAGATTTTGCTTGGCATGCCTACACATGGACATTCTTATAAGTAAGTTTCCATTATTTTAATAATCTATAACTATTAAAACATTACTATTTTTTTTTAGATTAAAAAATGAAGACAATAATGGTTTTAATGCACCAACTACTGGTCTTGGTATCGGCGAGGGTGGTTATGTAACTTTTTCAGAATCGTGTGAGTTTAAATCACATCCAAATGCTACAACCGTTTTTGACTTGGAAACTCTTACACCATACGCATATCATAAAAATGACTGGATATCTTTTGATGATGAAAAAAGTTTAGCATTTAAAGTAGATTATGCTACTACTTTAAATTTAGGAGGTGCCATGGTATATTCTTTGAACACTGATGATTATAGTGGTTCAAGTCAATGTTCGATAACAAAATTTCCATTAACTTCTATTATACAATTAGCATTAAATAATAACGTTTAAATATTTAACTAAATACTAAATACTGCTTCAATGAGTATATAATAATAAATTTATTTTATTCATTTAAAGTAATTGGCATACGTGGACAACCTTAGTTCATTTATTACTGTGTTAAATTTTACTTATATTATATTCTTATTCTTCATATTAATTTAATAAAAACCTTTTGTATTCTAGTAAAATTAAAGGTAAGAATTTTATAGATTAGACTATTAGAGTCTAAAGGTTATAAAATTTCAATCATTTGTCATTCTATTGTACTTAAATATTTTGTTATTAAAAAACACTTAAAAGTTTTTTTCAAATAAATATATAATGTAATACTATATTGTCTATATCTATCTAAAAATCAATCAATAACTTTCATCCAAAGGCTCCAGTGGTGATCAAATAGTTTTGTCAAATGGGGATGATGTGGCTGATTTCACCTTACTAAATCTTGTAGAAAAATGTGATAGCTAATGCTCTTTGTAGCAACTGCACGGCTAAGAAATTTGTCAGTAAAAGCACATGCTGAATATTTGTCCTGCATAAGATGTAAAATTGAAGGACAACGTATAAACAATAAGTTACTTTTCTAAAAGAAAATCACTTATGGTCTATAGATTTGTTAAATTTGAATTCCATAATATAATATGATTGTATACAAAAAATGATTCTGTACTGAAACGGTATGTCAGTCTAGGACATTTTATATTGTAATTACTTATTAGTTATTATTCATACGGTAGCCGGTAAGTTGAATTAAAACTATTCATAATATTATTCTTAACTTATCAGTGATGCTGGAAAAATCAATGTATTATGTACAATTGTTCTGTTTAGGAACTGAATTACAACAAAATGACTAAAATCGATATTCATTGTTTTAATATGTAATTTCGTCTAAATTTGAACTTAAAATAACTATAAAAAAGCTATTATTGTGTTTATTTTCAGATTTTTTGTTACAGAATTAACTACTTACGTTGAACCTTGTTTTAAATTTTCAAATCTTAGTTAGGTATAAAAGTTGAACATTTAATAAATAATTTGCTAATTTTGGTGATTTTTATGAATTTTGTCAAAATTCTAAATTCATATACTCTCACAACAAATTATTATAGATTTAAGCTCAACTTTTTTTTAAAATTGCAACTAGCAACAACTTTTCTACAGACAATAGTTTAAAAAAAACAAATAACAATTGAACATTTCATATGCCTGTAAATAAAATAAAAAAATTTAATTAACAAATTGAAAACACACATCATTGTAAAATCAATACATTCATTGCTCTCCTCAGAATTTAGAATTATTTTATACGAATAACTATTCTGAACGAATACAGTCAGCCTCTAAAATTAGGTGCTAAGTATATATCATGATATTATTGTGATTAAAGTAATTTATTTTACTACTAGGCAATGATATATTTAAATCATAACAGAGAAACTAATATTGTTATTCTTTGTTTAAATATTGAATTTCTTCCAAATTTGAAGTTGATATGTCCAAAAAAAAAAATAACTGTGTTTATAAACCTATTTTTATATTTTTTGGTTACAGTATGAACTATTTATTAGAATCCTTTTTTTAATGTTCAAACCTTACCAACACAAATTGATCATTTTATATGTTTTTAATTACCTTCTATAGCTAATATGGATGTTGAATAGGGATTCTTCAACTGCTAATATTATAACTTATGATGGACTTTGTATTAAATTCTCAAGCTTTTTGAGGCAACTAAAAAATGTGATTGACATTCATTGAAAAAATTAAAAAATTAAATTGAATATTAGGTTTGTCAGTAGCTCAACACGATCATTCATAGATGATGAAAAAACTTTCGGTGACATTTCAAGTACTTACGGTCATAAGTTTTTGAATTACAACAAAATAAGAAAATCGTTCTATAATTATTTGTTAATTTACGGGTCTTATTTTAAATACACATAAAAAATTATTTTAAGTTTCTATTAAACTTTTTTTTTCGATACACTAGGAATTTTTTATTGAGTTTTCAAGTCTTAGATATACATAGAAACATTTTTATGAATTCCTAATTAATAATTTGCAACATTTTTGTGATTTTGTAAAAATATAAACTTTAGTAGCTCATAAAAAATAATAATGAATTTAAGCTTAATTTTTTTTTTCACTGAAAATATGAGGGACTTTGTATTAAATTTTCTATGTTCTTCGACAGAGCGAAAATATTTTCGTACAATAATTTTAAAACAATATTTTTAACATTTTAACATTCATGGAAAATGCTAGTATAAATATGCCTGTGACGAAGTTCTCCGACGCTTTTAAAACTAAAAGAAAGTCGAAACTATAATCTCTAATTTTTACCAACTAGAGCATTCAGAAGTTAAAATGAACAAATTAGATTAAATTTCCTGCCAGAAAAGTTTCCGAAGTTGAAAATTGAAGCATTATATTTTATACTACTCAGTACTCATGGTATCATATCCAGCAATAGCCTGACGACTAAGTATTCAATCATACCTACACAGCAGAAGCTACTTTCCAGGTGTTTAAACATTTACCAATAGAATATTGTTATTTTATTTTAGATTCTTAGTGGAGTGATGAACGTATTGATTTTACAATGTTGAAAATTCTTTTTAATTTATTTGTTTTGTGTCTGTCATCACGTTTTTAGGCTGTAAAATCGCTTCGATTTTCTTCAACAGCAATAGTTTTCTGGAAGGAAAGTGAATCTAGTAATCGATTTTGATTTTTAGTATAGGTAACTCTAATTTTCACTGAATGTTGTATTTGTTTCATATATTAATGATTTTCACTGTATAGAATTTGGCATATTCTGATACTTTTTAGTGCATACAAATGTCATGACTATATCTAGTCATGATTTCATGACTATCGCGAGTGCTCGTAAGTCGTGACTATATATAGACTCTAAACCAATAAATATCCTATAGGTACATTAAGAGTTTGCATATTTTTATTTGTTGTGTTACAAACAATAATATAGAGTTTAGTTATGCATAAATAAGTTTATTTAAACCACAGTTTAACCACTTTTTTTATAGTTTTTTTTTAAAATTATTTATTTAATTTTTTTTGACTTTTGTCGGCAAAACTCAAGTATAAAGATTTAAAATTGTTGACATTTTTATATCAGATATCGTTTATTAGAAGATTACTAAGTAATGGTTTAACATAGTCCAATAAAAGGTTTTACACTTTTAGATTCTACGAGGAGCGATGAAAACTGGTGTGAAACTATTATAATTTATAATACATTAATGTCGATTGACAGCTGCTGATAATAATATTATGAGCTCAAATCATTTTCCGTATCATTTGTTTTCTAGTTTAATTAGATCACTAAGTTTCGAACAATAGAACCTACGCGGCGTAATCAGAATTGTGATGGGTAGTTTGTGTTTAAGTCCGTTTCATATACAATTTTAAAATTTTTTAATTTTTTTTTTCATCTCGTTTTATGATTGTTTTTTTTTAGATTCTAAGCGGAGCGATGAATGTATTGATTTTACAATGATGTGTGTTTATTTATTTATTTATTTATTTGCTTTGTGACTGTCATCACGGTTTGAGGCAGTAAAAGTGCTTCGATTTTCTTCAACAGCAACTTTTCTGGTAGGGAAGTGAATTTTGTTGTTGCATTCGGGAGTTTAAAATTTAAAATCACCAATAGTTTTCAAAAGCAACAGGATAAACAAACAAAAATTTAAGGAAAAACAAACATTTTTATGCAAAACGTTCGAAAATATCGATTTTGGTTTTTAGTGTAGCTCTAAACAAAATGACCGTAGATAGATGAAATTTTCACTGAATATTTGTGTTAGCGTTTTCTATTCACCATAAAGTTTTCAAAATATTTTGACTTGCGTTGAACTATTTATAGGCATATAAAATTGTCGACTATTATTTGTTTTTTAGACTAATGTCAATAAAAAAATGTTCGCTCCGTCAAAAAACTTGTAAATGTAATACAAGGTTTCTCGTAATTTGTGGTTAGTAGAAATTAAAAATAAAATTGACTGTAGACCTACAATAATTTTTTATGAGCGTTTAAATTTTGAATTTTGACAAAATTCGTAAAAATCAAGAAAATTCCCAAAATTATTTTGAGTAAGAAATTCATTAAAAATTGTATTTTTATATCTAAGATTTTAAAATCGAATACAAGATTCTTTATAAGTTTGTCTACCTTTATCAAAAAAATTGTTCCCCTAAAAGTCAAATTACATTTTTATGAGCGTTTGAAGTTGACATTTTTACAACTTTTTATGTTCACTCCATTTCTCAAGTTGCGATTTTCTTATTTTGTTGTAATTCAAAAACGAATAATTGAAGGTACTTGAAATGTACACTACCTATATGTTTATATTATTAATTTATATACTTAATAACATTTTAAAAATATTTTGATTAGTTTTGATCTGTTTACGTACATTTTCAAGTTTTTTTTTTTTGTTATTGTCAATAAAATTGTATTGGTTGTGTCAAAAGCTTTGAAGTTTAATACAAGGCTCCTGATATATATTTACAATATTAATTGAAAATTATTAAAAATACATAGGCACTATTTTTTTTATAAGCACTTAAAGTTTAAATTTTGAAAAAATGCATATCATTGAAAACGAACAAATAAATTTTACAGTTAATAAATTTAAACTTTATAGCTAAGGGTTGAAAAATTAAAACAAATTTCGAGCATGTAATTCTGTAACCAAAAAATCTAAAAATTTATAAGCGCAGTTTATTTTGTTGGTTTTTTTATGTTAAAATGTAGACGAAATTACATATTAAATAACCAAGTATAATGATTTATGTTATTTTTTTGTAAATTAAAAATACTATTCATGGGTACTTGAAACTTTTAAAATATATTATTATATTTCATACACACAATGGCTTTTCAAAAATGAATTTAATCTACTATGCTTAGTGCTAACGTTTACTAGTTAAATAAATTACTTTAATCACAATCATAAAATCATAAAATATACTCAATTACACAGTAATATTATTATAGACATGACGGACCGTCTTCATTCAGAATCGTTTTTCGTGTATAATGATTTTATATCATTGATTTTAAATTTAACACCATTCATTACAGTGTCCCTCCCACTTGTAACATACTTGACAGCAGAGCGACATCCACTTACCATCTTTATTATAATATATGAGCATCCATCGTTTACTATTTGTACGAATAATTATTATTGGTGT